TGTGAAAAAGTTCGAGGCATCGAAAAGGCGAACACTCATATGAGGCAATGTATTCCACTTCATAAAAGAGTGGCTATCTCACTATTCGCATTGGGATCTGCAGCGGAGTACAGGACTGTTGCAAGTCTTTTCGGAGTAGGACGCAGTACTGTTGGCGAAATTGTTTTGGATTTTTGCCAAGCAGTATGCGAAAATCTATCTGATTGCATTAATTCATATCCTCCAAACCAACACGAAATCAGAAAAGTTGTTGATGGCTTCGCGCAAACTGGGTTTCCTCAATGCTTTGGAGCTGTGGATGGCTGCCACATAGAAGTTCAACCACCAAAAGATGATGCAACAGACTATTACAACTACAAGGGTTGGTATTCAGTGATCTTGCTAGCGAGCTGTGACCACCGGTATATTGAAACCTTTATTAAAATTTCTTTATAACAATTTATTGTAAAGCCTAAACTTTTTACAGATCAAAATTTACTTACATAAATATTGGATCTACTGGTAGAAACAACGACTCTTACATTTTCGAAAAGAGTACATTGAAAAGATTCCATGAAACTGCCGATATTTTTACGCAGAATAGCAAATTCATAGGCGGCATCAATGTACCCGTTCTACTAATAGGCGATTCTGCTTTTCGCCTCTCCCGGTATATGATGAAACCGTTTCCATATTCGCCGAATCAGCCGTCTATAGAAAAAACCTTTAACTACCAACTATCTAGGTGTCGTCGTCTAATCGAAAATGCATTCGGTCAACTTAAAGCACGGTTCAGAAAAATAGGTAGAGGTTTACAAGTCGCCCCAAAAAACATAAATACCATAATTAGAACGTGCTGCATTTTGCACAACTTCTTGAAATTAGAAAACGACGAAGTTTCTATTGGTTGGATGCAAGATTCAAGAGAAGATATTAATGCTAGAAATCAGCCAAGGCACACTACAAGAGTCGGCGAGAATGACGTGAATGCGTCCGCTATTAGAAATGCAATAGCTCGCAGTTTCCGTAAGCAAAAATATTACAAGTTTCCTATAAACATTAATCTATATCCGGAAACAGCAATAAATAAAAGTTTATTTATGTACATTACATTCATTCGTTTATTAATCCACTTTTTTACTATTAACTATCTTTTTCTGTCAATTTTTTCATTAACACTACTTACTAACTATAACAACCTATTAATCTAATAACTATAAAATTAAAACAAAATTCAGTCTATACATTTCTGACATTTGGCTTATTTTTAAAGAAATTAATTTTAACATTCACTCGTCTTAATCTTATAACTATAAAATTAAAACAAAATTCAGTCTATTGATTTGACATTTCGCTTATTTTTAAAGAAATTAATTTTAATATTCAGTCGCCTTAATCTAATAACTATAAAATTAAAAGAAAATTCAGTCTATTCATTTGTCATTTCACTTATTTTTAAAGATATTAATTTTAACATGCACTCGTCTTAATAACTGTAACCCACCCTACATTCACAAGTTTTACTAACTATTTTTTATTATTTAATTTAAGTTTTCTTCTATATAGTCTATTTTTAATCAGAAACTGTATAATTCCAAATTTCAAACAGTAGAAAATTTCTATAAAATTACATCTAAGTTTTGAGCTTTTTATTGTTTCTTAGAAACATTTTTAATATGCAGTTTTATGGCCCGTTGAATTTTAGTAGAATTAAGTATAAGTGTAAAGTTCTAAAAAATCCCGCTGAATTTCGGCAATTCTTTTTGCTGGCAGCGTAACGTATTTTCCTCCATACAAAGTATGTTTGACATTTTTTTATATGAAGGAAAATTACCAAAACCGAAAACAAAAAAATTGCCTGAAGTCAGCGGAATTTTTCAGAAACTTCACACTTGCACTTTGTTTTAATAAAATTTGACAGGCTATAAAACTGCATACTACAAATCTCTCTAAAAAACAGTATTAAAAAGCTGAACATATAGATGCATTTTTGCATAAGTTATCTACTATTTGAAATGTGGATTTGTACAGTTTTTGCTTAAGAATAGACATGTATTTTTATAAAAAAAAATTAAATAATAAAAATGTTAGTGGGTAAAACTTTTCAATGTGTGGTGGATTTATAGCTATTACGACGAGTGTATGTACACTTATTTTCTAAATCTTATCTATTAAAACCTTCATTAAATTTAAAAACTCTTTCGAGGTGTCATTTTGCTCCCTTATGGCAGTAACAACCTCATTTGTTAGCACCTTGGTATCATGCACAACACTCCTTAGCAATTCTGTGTGTTCCTGCATGATTCTGATCACTTCTCCCGAACGTTTTCTTTTTCTTCCAGAAGAAGCAGGTGCAGATGAATCACCAGGCGACACAGCTGATGCTGAAAGCAGTGGTACTGGCGAGGGCGTCGATGCTGCTTCCATGGATGACGATGGTGAAGGTGTTGACGGTGCTAACGGAGGCGATGGAGATGGTGCTACTACCGACTGGCTGGATTCATTAAGTATTGTGTCCTAGGAAATGTATTTACATATGTAAATATTTTGGAAAACAAAATAAAAGTGAACTGAAAATACATACTAATAAAAATGACTCGTGCACTTCCGCATTGTTAACAGCGGTTCCCCCAATAATTTGGTGTACCGCCATATAATGCTTCCATGTTGATGGACTGCCACCTGACGCACCCACATTCTTTTTCTCATCCCTGCAAATTTATGTACGTAGATATTAATATGGTGCACTAATTTATTTGATAGAAGGGGTACGGTTTAGTTATTTTCCCAATGATTTCACTCATTTATTAATCAATTTGGTCTGAAATATGCACTGTTTTGTGTATTTCGAAGTAAGTTATATGCAAAAATACTGTGGTCAGCGTAGCCCGAGTTGGACTGATGAGGTTTCTAAGCACGGAAAGGTGTTCCGCACAAAAATGCTTTTTACCCAGTTTACATTCCCGGAGTCAAGATACTAATTTTAGGCCATTTTCAATGAGTTCCCCAGGGGCCTGTGGAAAGTTTTGAGGGGTCAGATTTGGCTTTTTACAAAGTGTAAACTGTGCTGTTTCTAATGGGTGGGAACCACACCAGCTCCTCCGCCCACTAACCCAAACACAGTGGGCAAATAACTAAACATTCCCTGATAGAAGAACTTACCTATATTTTTGGGTCAAATTGCGCACTTTCGTATGCACGTCCTGCGCGCTGAATTTCCCGGCCATTTGCACAGAAATATCAGCATAAATATGCCCATTTCGTTTGGCTCGACGCAAATCAGCAGCACGTTCTGCCCACAGCTCAATCAGGATTTGGTCATCCTGCTCGCTCCATACAACACGCTTTTTTGTTGCT